CTTCTTTTGTAAAAAAAGTTAGCAAAATGAATGTATTTCCAAAGTCTCTTAAAGCTCTAATATTACATGTTTCTTCTTTTCATGAGTATTCAGTCTCAGTCAAGAAGTAAAGAGGAGAAGCAGTCCCTTAAGGGGTCTCAAGCTCTGCATTTTGGAATAGCATGCTATCTTTTTCTTCTTCCTGCATAGACTATACCTCCTCCCAAAGCATCCTATCTAATATGCATATCTAATATGCTAATTGACTGCCATACCTCAAAGATGGTGGTGCCCACAGCCAAAAGATGGTGGCGCCCAGTCCCCTAACCCCACCAGGGTGGCAGGCATGCACCAAGTGGGCCCGGCCTTACCACACACCTGCCTCCAGAGTCCCCCAGTCCTCTTAGCACCCCAGCCACCCAGGGCCCCCCGAGGCTCAGGTAACCAGGGCTGGCTGAGGCTTGTGCTGCCAGCAGTGGCAGCAGCAGAGGTGTGATGGGGGCATCGCTTCCTCTGATCACCAGGTCACCTCCTGCCCCTGAGGGCTCCCAGACTGTGAGAGGGGCAGGCCGGGCTGAGGGACCCCCCCTCCAGTGCACGAGTTTTCATGCACCGGGCCTCTAGTCTAAAAATAATAAAGAATAAAGAGTGTAATACAAAAGGAGCATTGTCATCCTTGTGACTATACTTCATGTTCTTAAAATCCATGTGATTTTTAAAGGATGAAATATGCACAAGGCAGGCCAAGAACCCTCACGAGCATTATGATACCTGTGCTGGAAGCACTCTGAGTGAACATATAAACATATACACAAACACCACAGAAAGAATGTTCTATTCAATCAGGGATTAGCAAAGGTTGGGTAAATTAACCTCGCTAGGAAAAGATGTAGTGCTGATGTGGCTTTAACACAGGAAGGGAAAATTGATGACCCAAGATCAGGTTGAATTAGTGAATCTGTGTTTGCACCTTATCAAATTTTGAGACGGAATTTCAATGCTGTTGGCCAGGGCATGTACTCTCCTGTGTGCTGTAGCCCTCACCATGCCCTATTGCTCATGTGTCTCCACCATCAGTCTTTGTTGCATATATAAGCCCCAAAGCCATGAGTTTGAAACTTGTAGATATGCACATATTTTATTATAATAATCAGAAGCAACAGCATAGTGTCCAGAATCTTGGTATATATCTGTCAACAGGGTCCCAGGAAACAAAATTCCATTCCCAATTCTGCCACATCCTGGGCTCAACTTTCCTCTTCTTTAAAATGTGAGATCTGATCTCAAAGTTCATTTCAGCTCTCTGACCAATGATTTGAGTGACCTGAGTTGATTAAATTACAACAAATACTTAGAGTTGCAATAGTCAAAGTGACCCTTTGGTTAAGGGTCACATTAAGCTGGCCTTGACGAGAGTGACCCAATATGCCCAGGAATCTAATACTCAATGACTTTAGATGAGTCACTTCTGCCTCTGGGCCTCTCTGCCCAATCACAAAACGACAGGGTTAGGACACAGCTGTGATTCTCAGCAAGGGCACTACTGCCTCTAGAGGACATTTTGGAAACTTTTAAGACATTTATGCAAGATTTCCTGCAATGACCAATGCACAATGAATAATTACCTTGCATCCTAGGTGCCCTTTGAATATTTTACAGGGCATTCATCACACTAAAAGATTGTTTATACTTTCCTAAGTCCCGTATAGGCTTACCCTGCTTATATTATTTCACATAGCATAGTATATCATAGTATATATAATACAATTATTATGATAAATAAGCAAAATTGTTTATAGTTCCCATAGCTCTGCTTTATATATAAACACAAAGTAATTTTGCACATTTTTAATATTCTATTGAATTTTCCAGGAATGTAAGTACTGTGTAAGTTGAAAGGAGATTGTACTGTTTTATTCAGGATTTTACCAAGAGTTTTAAAGCATTTCACAGTCACCTCGCTGACAGCAAGACTGCTGGTGCTATTTGAGACTGCAGTGTATAACACCTGTATCAGTCTGCATTGCTAGCCTCATGATCCTACACACGCTGCAAGCAACATATTGCTTTATTTTGTTTTAGTGGAGTCAGCTGAGCTTTATTGAGTTGTCTGTTACTTTTATAATACATTGTATTTTTTGCTTTTATTTTTACTGTATAGGATGGAATCATGTTTATTCTTACAAAGAATATGAGCAGATTATATACATATGAATTTATTTTAATATATAAGAGGAAGTGGTACAAAATATAGTTGCAATACGAGAGTGTTGTTGAGCCTGACAGGGTTGAAAACAAATATGTTAGACCTCCCAAATTTAAAATCCTTAGTAACAAAATAAGCCATGATTATCTCCATAGTAGTGTTACAATAATGGCTGGAAAGAGTACTGGACATGGCATTGAAGGTGAAATAAACACAATAGTCTAAAAACAGTGGAAAATAAAGCAACAGATAAAATTAAACTAGGAGTTCATTTTAGTCCTTGGGGATCCCTATTTTAATCTAATTATATCAAAGCTTTCTCTATAATGGCCACCCTGAAGCTTTTTCTTGTTTTTCTACAGACATTACTTAATTTATACAAGTCTAAGCTATATGTTTTTCATTAAGTTGTGTATTTCTTATCAAGATATTTTTAAAATGTTATGTTTTCTAACTTTCAACTAATTCACCAACTATAATTTTAAAAATTAGCTACTTGTATTTGGTTCAAAATGAGGACATGACCTTAATTTCACACTATGAAACATCGCTTATAATCATATATGTGTTTTCACAAAGCTGTACAACCACGTCCTATTTCACAGTGTATACAGCTCTTTCTCATAAATTCTCCCAGTCATCAGCTTTGTGATTCACACAGGGTAGAGATGACTATATCCTGTCTACTAAGTTCAGAAGCATCTCATGCCCATGAATCCTGCAATCTATGTTGCTGAGTCTACTGCCCAGCCTGGTGCATCTTCCCACCCAACCATCCTGCTTTGTGAGAATCCTCCCCACTCACCTCGCCAAGGCAGTGGTGTGGTGGTCCATTTCCAGCTTTTTGTAGGCCAGTGCTATGACCCGGAAGCCCTGTGTTGTGTAAATCTGAAGTTCACTAACAAAACTAGCTGGCACTGTTCAGAAAATAACACAAGATTAGTAGGCAACATTTACTACTCAGTTGGTAGTGGTAGAGAAATAGACCTAGTTCTTGAAAACAAACAAACAATACCACCACATTTCTAAAAAGGTACACAAGTCAGTGGGAACCCACCCTAAAAATAACTACATTGTCAAGAATGACCTCTTGGTATTCAGTGAAGCTGAACTGAAAAGGAAACATTTAAAGAAAGAAGAAGATGAAGATGAAAACAGAGACAAAGAAGAACAAGAAGAAAAATAAAGGGTAGAAATATGTATAATTCTTTATTTCTATGGTTTAACTAACATTTACTGATAGTCTGCTAGGTGCCAGGCATTGGCTCTGCAGAGAGTAAACTGCAGGACCTCTGTTTAGTAAGGTATCAAATAGTAGACTCACAATGTAATCGAATGAAATCATTTCTATGACCCAAGTAATTGTAGTGTGCTATGCTATGGAATCACTTAGACACACATATACAAGTCTGGGAGGAAGTGGTTAGGTGAAAGAAAGGGAAGGACATTTTGGTTGAGGGAGGACCATGTGCTCAGGCATAAACACATGAGCCAAACAGCCTTGAGTCGTTAGTTCAGCTCAGGAAAAGCACAGGATGTGAGGATAGGAGTGGTAAGATGTATCTGGAAAGTTTAATAGGAGTCAGATCATGAACGCCTTATATAAGATCTTAAAGGAATTTGAGATTATTCCTGGAGTCTATGGGAAGCAACCAACAGAAGAAAAATGGAAAGTGACAACATAGTTATATTTGGTGATGGAAAACCCAATCTAGTCAGAGTATAAAGGATGAATCAGGATAGGAGTGACTGGGAGCAGGGGTCAATTCACCAACTGTTGAAGTGATCCAGTGGAGGGAAGATGAGGACCTGAGCTGATGGAGTGATAGAACTATGGGTTAGCAATTGCCAAGACAGAAGCACTGAGGGAGAGGGACAAATCTGGGAAGAACCTCAAATTGGGGGAGAAAGAGAATGGTAATGTCATTCACCAAGATGGGAAATACAGGAAGTGAGAAAAGTAATCTTGATTTTGGTATTGAGTTTGGCATGTAGATGAGTCATCCTATTGGCAATGATCAATAGGCAATTGGATTCATAGGTCAAGTGCTCAGGGGACATATTTGGACTGAAAATACAAATTAGCCAGCTGTAGTACAAGCCTGTTCACTTACCTGTCTCAGGTTGACAAAAGCTGGCGACCTTCTCTGGTGCACCTTTCATGAATGCCAACCGGTCACCCCCCATCTCTTGGACAATGACTGTCATCCTCTGCAGGGCTGATGAGAATGGGAACTGATGCAGGATTGCAATTCCTTCCACTGGGACCTGGTTGAGGGGTGGGGAATGGAGAAGGATACACCAACATAGCTTCCACCTATTGGGAATTAACTATTCCTCCCCCAATCCTGTTTTTAGCAAATAAGGGACACAAGTTCCCATCAGTTTTCTCATGTCATGGAAGACACGTCCATGACCTTTCAAAAGTGTGGGCCTAACGGAAATTTCCCCCTGAGGTTGGATATTTCAGAGTGGATAGCAGATGAAGCTTACCTGGCTGGCTGTTTTGCTGGGCTTAACTACCATGGCGTGTGCTGGTACTTCCTTGATGTGGAAATTGTCCCCAGAAATAGCCATTTCCTATTTCACAAATGGAATATTTTTTGTTGTAGAGATTTATTGATACGATGCTCAAACCCTCGTCTTGAGAAAATCCTGAGACCACCTCAATGTTTTCTCGGTTCTCCTCCCTTGGTTAGATGGAGGTGAACCAGTCTTATTTCATCACAGGGGGGAAAAAATGCATTGAAAATGCTGCGGAACTTCAAGGGCAAACACTTCTGAATTATTCATGCAATTTATCCTGCTTTCTCTGTTGGAGCATGCTGTGTAAAGGTCTCGGTCTCTTTCTGAAGAGACTGACTCAAAAATAGTGAGCACGGATAGCCAGACTTATTTGTGTGTGAGGCAAGCACCTTACTGTCTTCTTTTATCCTGGAGTTCACTGTCATTCCTGATCTTCCCTTTCCGTCTAATTTGAATTGATGGTCCTCAATGTGAGGTACGGCAGGGACTGTGATGTACCGGTACATGGTTGATGGTCAGTAAAGACTCAGTAATTGCTGTAATGATGACCCTAAATCATAGTCACAAGAGCCTTTTATCAAAGATGTCAAAATGCTTTGCAACCATCTTATTGAGTGGCTGAAAAAAATCTAAGAGAGGAAAATGTAATCCCTGCTGAAAAATACAGAAACTGTAACCCAGAAAGGGTAAGATTAGCAAAGTCATATCAGACCACTACAGAACCATGAAAAGGACCATAAGGACTGTCTCCTTCGGTGGGGCTCACACATGTATCATAGGGGCCCAGAGCTGCTACAGGGACCTGGCTACAGGGGACAGGCGTGGTGGGCTTGTGGCTGAGTAAGGTGGGGCCGTGTGTTCCCTAAACTTTACCTTTACTCCCCATTAAACCACAGCCACTCCGACTATTTGTTTTTTTATAAAGTGCATCTAAATGATGTTTCCTTTTAAGAAAATATTCCAGGTGTGGTTCTTTTGTTTCATTTTACGTAAACACTGCTGGTCTACTTCAATCCCTTCATTTTAAGGTCACAGGAACGTAGCCCCAACAAGAGAGATAACTTCACAGGGTGTACTGCTCAGCTAGAGCAGAGCCAAAACTAAAACTGGGAAAGCCAGATTCCTCTTCCTGAACAACACCCCGTGCTCTTAAATCTACTCAGAGTCTCAGTGAAGCGCTCATGTTTCCCTTTTTACTAGTCTTAGAAACAAAGCCAATATAATATGAATAAAAATAAAACTGATAACAATGAGTTATCCTAAGCATGGGGGGCAGTGATGTTCCCTCATCCGCATATTCTAGAAAACTTTGAAACAAGACATTGCTCATACTACAACCTGAAATTTGGAAATAATAAACTAAAAAATTCTAATTACATTCATGCAATTGAGCCTGTGATATGTACCAGAATTTTTTAAGGGCATAATTTTATTTAATCACAATAACCCCACCATGAAGATACAATGGTCTGTCTCTCACTGCTCTACGTCCTCCATTATTGAAGACTTCACATCTTACAGGTATTGACTATCAGTGATAAAACCTGTGTTTCTCTAGCATTGAAGAAGCTTCTTAGATTCTCTGCAGGTCAGAGGCTTACCCAGTTGGTGGCTTCAAACATTTTGAGGTCCAGAGGGTCTCCCTGGATGGTCTCATCGAGAAGGATCAGAGAGTGGCAGCTGGCCATGGCTGCACACAGTGGGCCCCATGGCAAAGCCCTGCCCGAGGCAAAGCTGTGGACCTCCTGGAAGCTAAAGGAGAAAAGGGAAAGGACTTCAGCCCAATTCTCCATCCAAAATGGAGCTTCCAGAGGTGACTTTTTGGGAAGTAATTTAACGTGTTTTGTTACATTCTATACCCACTCTCCAGCCACCCCAAATTAATAGTGCTTCATTTAGCCATCATCCTTACAAGAGTTCAGTGAAAATGAGAAAGGTCATTCAAGGCCTTTCCCTTACTCTTTCTCTGGTATGAATTTAATCCCAGAGGAATGAAAGGAACTAGAAGTGTCACTTTTAATTCTAAGTACATCCACTCCTGCTCCAACTCTCAGACCACTTCATTTCCAATGCCGTGAGGCAGAACAGCTTTGCTCATGCTATGGCTATTTGTGTATCTCCTTCCTTAATCCTTTGGGGCAGGGCCACGCCTTCTGTATCTCTCCAACATGTTTGGCCAACATTAGACAGAAAACAAATGCATGAGTGAATAAATGAATGAGTATCTATGGAAAATCTGAAGAGCATAATGGTAAAGAAATATAACCTAAAAATATGTTTAAAGGGGTACTGCATTCCTCTCTTCCACCCTGGCATCTAGTGTATCCTATTGCAGTCATCATCACCATCACTTCCTGTGGAAAGTGGCTTCATCTAAAATCTGCTGGGATACAACTGCAATGTCAGGTGCAGTGTGCTGTCACTAATTCAGGGTTGAAGTCATCAAGTTCAGCCTCTGGCCCATGAGAGGACTGTCCTCTGCAACCTTGTTGTCAGTCCCTTCTTAAATGTGTAGCACCGGAGATGGTTCATAGAGCAACTCATCCTAGGAGGACTTCTGACAGCAGAAAGTGTTTCCTGAACATTAAGGCAAAGCATGCTTCTTGGAGCCAGTCAGAGTCTACCTGCGCTCTAACTTCTGTGGACCAGCTCAGCTAGAGGTTCCTGTGTAAACCCTCCCTTCCTCTGAGTTTACAGAGGAACCTTGCACTGTGCCTTTAATACAGTTTGCAGACCACTCACCTTTCTAGTTACTTTCTTAAGTTTTTATTTGCCATAGTTTGATTAAAATGTGGTCTTGAGGATCAGATTATTGCTTCTCATGATATGGACACTGCATTTCTTTAAATACTGCCTTGGGTTGCTCTAGTCTTTTGTTTTCAAAAGTCTCCACATCACTGTGTCAGCGCATAATCCAGACCTATTTCTTGCTGGTTTCCTTATCCAAGCTTCTCTAAGAGTTCAAAACCTCTTGGCTGATTACTGGCCCTGTTGATCATATCTATTATTATATATCAGAGGATTAAGTTATCTTAGCAGTTTACAACAGACCCCTGGCATTTGGGTAAACATGTAAAAGGAAGAAGCCACCAGCAGTGTGATCAACGTGGATGCTTAAGCTCACACAAATCAGGGAAAATGAAATCTTATTTTTCATATGGCACATGCATTGTCACCAGTATGTAATTCTGAATTCCTGAGATTGGGCCAGACTCTGGTTTACACAACAAATAAACAGAACTCTTCTCTTATCTCTGCCCTTGTATTTTTATTTGAATGCTTGAGATTTTCAAACTCAGATAGCTCAGGTAGTGTGCCAAAAGTTCTTTAAGTATCCAGCCCTTTTTGGAAAAGCTAGGACTTATTATGACTCACCTTTTATTAGACGACATTTAATAGACTATAAGTTAGGGGCTAACTTCTTACCTAGGATTGAATCTGCTTTCTCTCATTTTATGAGTTAAAGTTGGTAATTTTGTTTAATTTTAAATTGTTATTTAAGTCATTTGAAACCAACTTTCACCTTTTTGAAGGAAGGTGGGAATAAAGAGCAATGGGCTTATTAATCAATAGCTTAAATTTTATATGAATTATTTTTATTTAAATTTGACGAGTTTTATTTAGAAATAAAAAGCTTAATAAGTAAGTTTGATGTCAATTCAATAGGTAGAATAGCATTCAAAAGATGGATCGCATTTAGTTAGTTTTGGATGAACAAACATATACTACGCATCTACTTGTGCACCTGGTGTAGTGCTACAGCATAAGGAACACAAATATAAATAATAAAAATACTGCTCTCAAGATGTTCACATATTTTAATAAATGCATACACTTTTTGTTGAAGCTGAAACAGAAAAATATTAATGAACAAGGAGTCCAGGCATATATCCAAATCTATCTTCAAGGAAAATAAAAAGAACTTCAAAAATTTATACTAATAAGAAGCTTCTTCTGTGTACCAAGTACCAAGATCAATTTCTTTAACCCAGGAAACAGACTTGTTTATAAACACTTTATATTCATGTTTTAATATGAAAATGTATTTACACACCTATAATTAAAATATTTTGTGGATAAATTGTATGTCGTCTGCATAATGCAGAAGAACTGCTATGAACCTTTTATGACTAAAATGCTTTGAGATTTACTTTGTAAGTGAGAAATACCTTCATTTAAAAAAAAGGGAAATGTCAAATGTTTTCTGTTCACACTGGAAATTGCAGAGGAAAGCTGGAAGAGAAGTAATCCCAGGCATGGCCGCCAGGGGGCCTCAGGAAAGGTTATGCAAATCCCCGCTTGGAGCTGAAAGCGGAGGAGTTAAGGGGCAGCCAAAACATGGAATTCTCAGAACTAGAATACCAAGGAACATGAGTACACTGGCCCCAGCTCCCCGGACGTTCCTTTTACTGAAATTCATTGTACAAAGGTGAACTTGGTGTCCTTCCCCCTGGCACAGAAGAAGGCTTTGAAGGAGAGTGTGTTAGTATTGTCCAAATGAGGTACACTGGGCCAACTTCAGTCCCCTGACTAATATGCTGACTGCAAATTACATTTTAGCAAGGATTTGAATGCAGTGTCAAAACTTCTTCTTCATCTCCTGGGTTTGTGTGCGGCATGTGGCAGGGGTTGGGACAGGGGCAAACATAGGTTTTAGCTCAAACTATTAGTGGAACCATTAAGAAGCAGAAGCTATGCTGTCAACCACTGCTCACCAAAGCCAGAGCTAAATTGTCTCTATTGTTAATTTTCCTAAGAAAACACAGAGTTCCAGGAAAAGAAAAATTTCAGTGCATTTAGTCCAAGGTACTATGTGTGATAAAGGGATTCTATGGAAAGTCACCTCACAGGTGGCTTTTGTCCACCTTTATGCAGTTCCCTCCTTAATTTCAAATGCATAAAAGAAACTGCAAAACTGTCATTCTCCAGAGCCCTTGAGGTCTTACTTGCCAGCAAGTAAGTTTTGGCTTAAGTCACCACTTGTGAAAGTTCTCTACAGGTGTGGATGCTGTTATGGTCTCCAGAGCCCTTGAGGTCTTACTTGCCAGCAACTGTTGTCAGTTTTGGCTCAAGTCACCACTTGTGAAAGTTCTCTACAGATGTGGATGCTGTTATGTGAACAGTACTCACCCGTTCTTATCGCAGGGCATGACTCCCCAGACATCCAAGCCCTCCCTTGTCAAGGTGCCTGTCTAAACAGAAACAAGCACTCAGTTTACTCTGAAGATCTAGCTCCCCATTGCAACGACGAATAAGGTTCGTCCTAATAGAATAAGATATGCCACAAAATTTTATAGAGATCGGCACTTCAAGCAAGAACACAGTGAGGTGGGTATCTGGACTCCTGGGGGAAGCTTGGATGAACTCATCCCAGTTGTATGACCAGCAAGCGCTTAATCTCTTTGCACTTTAGTGATCTCAGCAATAAAAGAAAGAAAGCCGGACCTGCCTTACATATTTCAGAGGCTTGTTTGGAGATTCTAAGGCCAGATTAAACAGATGGCAAAGTTCTTGGTAAGCCTACAAGAGCTAAAAAATGGCGAATCCCAGTTCTTATTGCAGAAGTTAAAAGTGTGTCATCAGAAATAAGTAATGAGAGTAGGAGAATTTTCTGTTGTCCTAAAGAAATGGTTTGTTCTTTGACACATACTTAGTTAAAAGGTGCTTGTTGGTGTAATGATGAAGAGTTTATCTGGGTTAAAAGACCAGCTGTGTGATCTAGGCAAATTACTGAATTTCTCTAAACATCAGCGCCCTTGCCTGTAACATGGTTATAATCATATAAAGTTGTTGTGAAGATTAAATGAGATAATACAATAAAGTGCTTAATTTAATGTCTGGCATAGAGTAAGAGCTGATAATAATGATAATGACTCATAATAATTATTTATTTAACATTCAAATTCTTGTCACAATTATCTTCCCACCCCATTTCTTTTTCCAAGTCCAAGGATAATATGCTTTCATAAATAGAACATCTTTCCTTATAATTCTAGTTTGATCACAAAATAATGTTGAAATAGTAGCAAGAGCCACATTAACCTTTTGTTCTTGGTAGATAGCTTGATAGTTCAACAATTAGATAATATAGCTCCCATCTCATTAATTTTCTGCTATCAAAAACCTTCAATGTACTGTTTATTGGGCACAGATTTATGTTTGGGACGGTGAATACAATTCTGGAGATGGGTGGTGGTGATGGTTGCATAATAATTTGAATGCACTTAAAGCCACTTAAGAAGGTTAAAATGGTAAATTTTATATTATGTATATTTGACCACAATAAAAAGAATAAGAAAAGGAAAGGCAACAATAAAAAATAAAAACCTTCAATGGCTTCCCATTGCCTAAAGAAATATTTCTTAGCCAGACATTCAAGGTTTATAAACACCCTCTCCCATTACTAATGTTCTGCTCTGATCAAAACACATTTTATTGCTCTTCAGACTCTATGCCTTTGCCTATAATCTCCTGCTTATAATAGCTTTGTCTTGTACATATTTTAAGTATTTTTGTAGTGCTTGACATCTAAAAAAATATTTCTAGCTGAAAAGAGACTACCTCCCTGGGGCTGGCAATTACTGGTAGAAGAGACAGCATGGAACTCAGGCAAGAGCACATATTTGCAATGCAAACTAACCATTGGGTAGCCAAACCTCTCCTCTCTCTGGTCACCCTCCCCAGGAGACAATATTCCTCTTCCTTACTCATCCCAGGGCCAGGTATCAGACAACTAGGGACCATCTCTACAGCCTAAAGCTCACCAGAACCGCTCAAACTAGCCAATCATTGGTTGTTTACCCTGCCTTGTCTTGCATTTCCTGCAAAAACCCCAATAAAGGCCACCCCAATAAACCCCAATAAAGGATGAGGGCCTACGCACTCCCCTCACTCCTACTTTGCTTCCTGATCCAAACCTGGCATACTTCCTGTGGCCTTGCCTGGTGAGCTATGCATCTTCCTTCCAGAGGGAATGTGAATAACATTGACCTTTCCCTATCATCACTCAGTCACCTTATAAATTAAAACCCAGGCACAAAACCACCTTTCAATTCCACCTTAACGTCTCACAGCTTCCATCTTTACTCCAGCATATGTGTATACAGACTTGAAGAATACCTTCAAGAGAAGGTAGATTAAAAGGCTGGCTGGGAGTAACTGCCATATAATCAAGGATAACTTTAGATAAAATCTTCCTTTTTCATTCGTTCATTCATTCATTCACTCATTCATTCATTCAATAAGCATTTATTGAATACTGACTATGCCAAGCGATATTCTTAACATTAGGGATACAATAGCAATCACAGTAAAAGATTTAAATTTTATTCTCTGGGGGTTTGGGTGATAGACAGAATGCTATTTTAATTAATTGTGTTTCATAGACCATTGGAGGTGGAAGGATCCTAAAAGATTCTCTAATGCAGTAACTACTGTCCCTTCTCTATAATCTGAGGGCTCACGAGACGTTTCTTTCCTGGGTCACACAGCCAACCAGGGATAAAGTGAAGTCCGATACCCACATCCTGTTTCCTGGCTCATGAGAGTGTAGCACGCGTATACAGGATGACAATGATGATTACAATGGGGGTGAGAGTGAAGATGAAACACACATACCTTGTCAAAGCAGACAAGGTTTAATTGCCCACATACATTGATCCTCTGGGGACTGATGCAAAAGATGCCTCTCTTCTTTAGCCTCTTCTGGGCATAGATAATGCCCGTGGTCAGGGCGGCAGGTAAAGCAGGAGGAACTGCAATTGTGATGACATCCAGGGCTTTCCTCACCACCTCACCGGGAGCTTCCTGGAAGATACCTCACTCTCACTATCACAAATAGCTTTGTGCAAATGACTTTTTCCTTCTTTTTGTTTATTTATCTAGATTAAATTTCTAGAAATAATATAAGCAAGTCAAACATGGGTCACAGGATACGAACATATTTTAGTTCTCAAAACATTTTGCCAAAGTGCAATGAAAAAGCCTTGTAATGATTGATTCATATGCTACCAGCAGGCAACCATGGGCCAATTTGCCATGTGCCCTCACCAACATTGAATATCTGGGTTCTGATTAAAATTTTTCATTTCATAGCTACTAAATATTACATTATTGCAATAAACATATTCTCATATTGAAAATAATATAAGGAAATATTATGCAAGAATAGAAGCATGCTGATATCTCAATAAGCAAAATGTTTTATCCCATGAGATTGAATTGTTATCATGGACCTCGGTGATTAATTGCTTATGTTGGAGAGCCTGGGAGTACATAGGTCAGTTTCAGTGCTTGGCTCTGTTTCCCATGTTTGTAATCCCTACATTAAGGTCAACATGTAGAGTATAAAACGGACATGGGTGAGTGTGTATGTGCATGCAACAAAGGAAGCTTACCCCGCTGAGCACGTAGACACATAAAGTATAGATCATCCCAATGGTGGCGGTCACTACGAGGCATAGGAGGAACCTGATGGCATCCCTGTAGAGCTTGAAGTTCATCGGCTTGGGATACAAGATGGATCTCACAAGGTCCCCCTTTGCAGTGTTGAATCCTGAGCGGTAAACACACCCCACCCTCTCAGGATGACAAATCCTACACTGGTGCTCTTCCAACCTCATCCAACATTGCCTTTGTCTTCTCTAGAGACATTTAAACAGTGTTTAAACCCAAGTGCAATTAAACGATAATTGGAAAATATGTAAGTGCTAGAATGGAAATACCTTATCTATTTCAGAACCTATTACTCTGGCCTTCCTTCCCTCTACTTTCAATTCCATGCATCCCAGAGACAGGGAAGCACTATACTAGGGGCAGAGCACAGCTTTTCCAAAGCAGCTTCCTTTTAAGGAAACGACTCATGAGAATGCATGCACACACACACACACACACACACACACACACACACACACACGTCACTTGAATTTAAACTAAGTGGCCCAGTAAATACTGATGAATTCAATTTCTATTACTTTTGAATGTCAAGTTTTCTGTTTCTAGTCCTGCCTAGAAAGAACTCAGGATTTGAGGTTAAAAGACCTGAATTCTGGGTCCCGCTCAACCAGTTCCTGGCTGTATGGTTTGTGAAAGTCCACTTGAATTGTGTGGGCCCCAGATGATTCATGTAGGCACCTTTGTTTTGCAAGTACTATATATGCAAGTAGTTTATAAACTACAAAGCACATAAATAGTAATATGATCATCAGTACTATTATTTTTAAAAGGCATCTGTCATAGTTCAATTCACTTTTAAAATATATAAATTTAGTATAGTTGGTTTGTTATCTAAAGACTGCTCCATACCTAATAAATTAGACATTAAATAAACTGAATAACAGCATGTAATTAAAATGACAAAATGGAAGGAAGAGATGCTGACTAACCAGTCTGTAGTACCACGGCTCTCACAGTCCTGGAGCAAGCGCCCTTGGCCTGGATAACCTCTGTGCCACAGAAGAGGATGTGCCGTTTGTAATCCGCTTCACTCTGTGTTTTCCAGGGCACAGAGCCATCCATCTGAGGTAATGGAGTCTTAGTGACTGGGATACTTTCTCCTACAGAAAACAAGTCATGCACTTTGTGAGGCAAGATGCCCTCACTCATATGAATCATGTGTACACTTACACATCATATAGTAGATGTTTGCTGGGAATCTGCCATGGGGCAGGGACAACCCTAGACACAGGAAATACAAGGGGAAACGTAGTGCTTGTTTAAGAGGTCCATAGTCCAGAGAAGAACACAGACATGTAACAAACAAATATAATGCCATGTTATAAATACTATGAGTACTATAAAACCAAACATAGATGCTGAAATAGGCAGGAAATAACTATGTGGGGAATACCAAAATGTGCAGTTTAGAATGTCGGAGTTTTGAGAATAAAGGGCCATGAGACCTATGTAGGAGCCAAAGCCTGCAGGGCCCTAAGTGCATGTTTCATTCTGGGGTGTGTGTGTGTGTGTGTGTGTGTTTTCCCATAGGCCCTAGTGGCAGAAAGGGAATGGGAAGATGTTTAATTGTTTTATTAGATTAGAGGCTGGACATTGAGTTGGAAAATGATCACAAGAATCCCCACTGGAGAACCTGAGGTTTGAAATATGGCAGTTGGCAGTGGGAGTAGAAAGGAAGTGCTGGATTTGAGAAATAAGGAAGTAAGAAGCTACAAAACTTGGGAAATCCTATATAATAAAAGCCTAATATGCTGTGTCTGGTCATCTGGTCGTCCGTTCAACCAATCAAAGTGTAATATGCTAATGATATGCTAAGGCCACTCAACCGCTTGCTACGACGTGAACTGACCACCTGGAGGCAGACAGTTGACTGGTCGACCAGTCATTATGATGTGCACTGACCACCAGGGGGCAGATGCTCTTACCTGTGGTTAGCTTATTGCTGGGTTCAGGCTGATCGGGACTGAGTGAGATGGGCTGGACACACCCTGGAGCCCTCCCAAAGTCCCTTCCCAGTTGGCCAACCTTTTGCACCTCTTCTGGCCCCAATCATGCACCAGTGGGGTCCTTTGGCCTACCTAGCCTGTGCCCTCTTGCAATCCGGAACCCCTTGGGGGATGTCGGAGAGCCAGTTTCAGCCCCATCCTGCTCAATGCAGGAGCTGCCCCATGGTGGTCAGTGCACTCCCACAGGGGGAGCACCGCTCAACCAGAAGCCAGGCTCATGACTGGCAAACACAGTGGTGGTGGTGGGAGCCTCTCCTGCCTCTGTGGCAGCACTAAGGATGTACGACTGACGACTTAGGCCCACTCCCTGGGGGGGTGGGAGGGGGGA